AAAAATAAAGGATCCATTTATCTTTATTTTTTAAGAGTAAAGGATTCGTTTACTTTTATTTTATAAAGTAAAAGTAAAGTACCACCCCTAATCAGAAATGGTGGCTTTAAGATTGACATATAAAATCGTACAAGATCTTAAACGATTTTCATATGATCTTGTACTCTGATAAAAGATCATACAGTAAGTTCCGATATTCTTATAGAAATCGTACAAGATTCCATAGTCATATTCTTTGACCTAGATAGTCATCGAGAATTCATTTTAAGGAGTTGATTAGAATGATTCCTTCTAACTATTTATTTTTCTCGTTATTTTATAACCCTCATCATCGTCGAACACCTGTTGCACATAATAGATTCAAGTAATTTTGTTTAATCAACTTTCATATCTTTATTTCCTTCTCCCCATTGTCTTCAAGGATTTATTAAGAGAATTAGATTGAAATTGTCTAGTTTCGCTCCTTTTTTGACTAGCTTTGCTTCGATTGTTCAGATTACCAACCGGGAATCCCATTGATCATTGAGGTTCAGAAGCAGTGATGATGTTCAATAACAGTTTCGTTCAGCATTTCGTAAACCTGAAAGCCCATAGCTGATAGCTATGAAACCTGATATGTAACGGTCATGTGCTTCCAGTGACGATGAAAAATTATTAATAATTCTCGCATATTTCTTTCATAAGTGTGTGAGATCATTAGCAATGGCGATGAATCCCTCCATTCAGTCTTTCACCAACTCTTCAATGAGATTGATGTTGCTGTTAGAACGCCCCATATACCTTTTAATAAACTCTTGAGGCGATTGATGAAGTCAATAATCACCTTCATATACCTTATCCTAAACCCTTGAGACGATTGATGAAGTCCATAATTCCCCTCATATACCTCTTCATAAACTCTTGAGATGATTGATGAAGTCAATAATCACCTTCATATACCTTATCATAACCCTTTAGGCGATTTAAGAGGCCTATAAACCCTTCATATACCATATCATAAATCCTTGAGAAGATTGATGAAGTCAATAATTCTCCTCATATACCTTATCATAAACCCTTGAGACGATTGATGAAGTCCATAATCCCCCTCATATACCTCTTCATAAACCTTTGAGAACATTGATGATGGCCATAAACGTTTCCAGATATCCTTTTTGAAATGCGATACTCGCGTATTGTATTTTTATCTACCCTTTCAGAAAGGGTTTCGAAGAGTATTTGACGAGGTTTACTATGTTCATGAACCCTTACGATGGGTTTATGAAAGTGCAACGTATAGCAAGCCCTGTAAGGATTTATGAATCTTATGAACCCTTTCATAAACCTTTTAAAACGAGTATTTGAAATTCATAAACCCCTTAATATTCCATTTTGAAAGGGTTTCTCAAAGGGTGTATGATCCTTTCATAAACGGTAGAAAAGGATTTTTTATACGTTGCACTTTCATGAACCCTTTCAAGCATTTATTATTCTCCGGATTTTTGTTACAGTGTACATAAAGAGGAGACTCGCACCCACCCACACCCATGCCCACCCTCATTTTATAATCGAGTTCTGTCATGAATCTTCATTTTTACCTGGAAAGAAGCTTATCTATGGATATAAGATTCAGCGTCAATATTTTCTTTTCAAAATATGTCTTTTTATTTTGTTTGTTTCTTGATTTATGTCATGAATTGGTAATGTGGCAGTTACTAAGACTTCTCTTATCTATAAAAAGAAAACGGATGAATATACAACTCACATTTATTTCAACTTTTTCTATCATGATTCCGCATCTGTGTATGTACTTACTTTTGTTGGTATCAAGTCAAGTAAGTCTCAGTGCAGCTGCACTAGTACACAATAGCAGCAGTTGCAACGGCAATGACACATCGATTCTGACGAATCCGCCACCAGCATCACCGTTGGTCGAAAAAGATGACGCAGACAAAGCTCCCACACTTGCAAAAGCAGTGGTCAACACAAATATCTTAACAGTGTTCACGTATGATGATACTCGAGTCTATGTCTACGAATCCAAGTCAAATGAAAACGCACCCTCAAGCAAATGGCTCTTCTTCTATTTGCCTGTTATGTCGCCTGTGGCACTGCCTAATCATGATCGATGGGTGACAGCTATTGGGAATGAAGTTCGTCTTCGTCTGATGCTAGGTAATGAAACAGTAGAAGAATTAGCTCGTCAGGCCATACTTCGAAAATATTCAAATTCTATCGACAATGAATCATCAAAATATTGGGATGTTATTCCATTGATTATTGAAACATTGACGGCCTATATTGTTCAAAGTAGTTCGGCACCAGTTGTTGGTGTTGAACCATATCGTGCTATACATCCAAATTCGTTGTATCTAACATTTCGTTTTCATTGTATAACACCGAAACTTGCACTTCAAGTTGCTGAGAAATTGTACAACGGTGATTATGAAATTGAAATTGCTTTTTATTTTGGTGGTATACGTGAAACACATGTGAATTTTGTTTCAATCACTGGTGATCAACTGAAAAGTGTCCTGAGTAAGACAACAGCTGACGGTGGTAATACTAATGCGACATATATTCATCGTAATCAAGCATCAAAATATGTTGGTCGTTATGTTGTTAATGTTAAAAAGATGATGTACATTGAAAATCCAAATGCAAATCTATCGCAAATAACTGATGGTTTAGAGGAGCAATTTACAGCACTGTTTCAGCAAGGTAAGAAGACAGTGTTACGATACAATAAAGAGTGTTAGACACTGAAAGCTGAAATCCACTATGTGCGGACTTTACGGTAGATAGTACCTTTACTATGAGTGTTACTTCTAGAGCTATAGCACACTATCGAGACTTGTTTTCATTGCTACATCATACATTTTCTTTAGCAATGGAAAATTCGCAAGAACAACGTAAGGAAGCCGATATATTTCGTCAACTGTGGTCGCCGTATGATCTGAATCCTGATCGTATTACAGAAGAATTAAGTAAAATATTTACATACAATGACACTGAAACAAAACGGCGTAATGATACGAGTACATACTATGATTTTAATAAGGCAAATATGAATGCAAATGCCAACAGCCATTCAGCTAGCGGTGGTGGCTCTGTCAGTATGGAAGCTCATCTCAGTATACCGTTTGTTAGTGCTGGTGGAGCGGTTAGTGCTGGCGCTTACGGTGCAACATCTGGCAGTTCATATAATTCTCTCTACAATCAACTGAATGAAACGACACATAATCAGTTTTCATCCGAAGATATTCAAAGAATGTTCACACAACAGGGTACAGAATTAGAATTTAAAGGCGAAAAGATAACTCCAAAAGCATTTCAAGTTTATAAATTGGCTGATTTAATAGATCAAGTACAAGTTGGTATCATATCAAAACAATTAATTGCTGAAAAGAAAGATGGTGCAATCGTGAAAACTGTAAGTGCATTGAGTTTTTCTGCTGGACTTGGAACCATTGCATCTACCACAGCCACATCTATTACTTCGACTTTGACAACCACCTCTATCTCATCCGTATTACCTCCCCCCAACATGATTTTAACAGGTGAAATACGTCTCTATTCAGGTGATAGGACTGTTCTCCCCGCTCCATGGCTTCTTTGTAATGGTTCAGCTATTTCTCGAAAAGAGTTTTCTGAACTCTTTCGAGTCATTGGTATAAACTATGGAAGTGGTGATGGTATCCATACATTTAATTTACCAGATTTTCGTGGACGAGTACCGGTTGGTGTAGATGAGTTACAAGTAAATATTACTGAAATAGGTAGATTAGGATCTATAGGTGGACAAGCTATGCATCGACTAACTATTGATCAAATTCCACCACATCAGCATAGTGCAGGTTCTCTCTCTACATCGTCGAGTGGTGCTCATCTTCATTCCATTTATGATCCTGGTCATGATCATGGTGGCAAAACAGGAAACAGCGGACCAGTTGGTACTGGAAGCTGGGGAATGCCTCCCAAGGGTTACGGTAGCGACCAATCCTTTCATTCTCATACAATTCCAATGGGTAAAACGGGGATTACGATCAACTCAGCTGGTTCTCATGATCACATGGTTAACATAGGTCAGACTGGTTCCGTGGGACTTGGACAAAAGTTCAGCTTGATGCAACCATATCAAACAGTTAACTATATAATTTATGCCGCTTAAAAACTCGCATACTTTCGATTATCAGAAACTATGCATGTAGCTGGCTTTTTTCTAAATAAATATTAAGCATAAGGCCAAATCTCCTCAAACTGATCCTACACAAGCGCCTCAAGAGTACACATAAATCAATGAAACTCGGATGATGGTGGAAATGCTTCAATTCTGATCTAATGTCTCCTATTTTTCGGTCGATCTTCACCTCGAAAAAGTTCGCAGTTTTTTAACCCTTTAACCGTTAAATTTCTTTTGAAACCTACCTTTAATGCGAATAATGATGCAATTGATATAGAGGGGCATAACTGATATGAAACATCAGAACTGGCACAATGAGCTGCAGTCAGTGCAGAGTGTTAGAATTGATACACGGCATATAAAGAAAATAGAGTTAAGGAATTGTAGTCGTCATTTTTTCCATAAAGATTCCTTTGACGAGTATACTCGTCAATAATGGTTAAAGGGTTAATTCAAAGTGTGGGTATGGGTGTGGCTGTGGGGTGCGCGACTTTGGTCTGAGGCTATGGTTTTGGAATGTGGGTGTTTGAGAGTGTTGGCGTTAGTAGGTTGAAGAGTTTCACATCCACATCCACACTCGAATCCGACCAGCGCCCACCCGCACACCCACACCGACACCCACCCACACCCACACCCCTACACTCACCCACCAACACCCACACCCACACCCACACCCACACCCACCCACCCACCCACCCACACCCACCCACATCCACATCCACACCCACACCCACTCCCACACCCACACCCACACCCACGTGCAACCAGTAATTCCTGCATTTCCTGGTCATCGCTAATCTTTTCTAATTCCGGAATTCCACTATCCATTCATTCAAGCTCTGTAAGTGATCACTTAGCCATCCATGAGATATTTGTAATTCCGGAATAGGCAGGAATGACCAGAAATTCCTGTATTTCCTAGTGATTCCGGATATGCACAAATTCCTGAATTCCGCTTTGATATCGAATAGATCTTTTAAGATGATCATTTCGTTATTCAGTATATCCTTCGAATTCTGGAATTACCCGGAATGACCAGGAATTGGATGTTGAGAGTTGGATTTGAAAGGAACTACGAATCAGGAATTCCTGGTTGTGGCATGTATTTGAGGAAAAGGGTCGTTTTAGGTTTTTCGAAATTGATGGTAAGCGATTCCGGGTCAGAAGGCGATGCAGGAATGTGTAACTTTTGGGAATAGGAAGTATTCTCTTTTTTCTATCTTTGTAAATGCGAACAAAACATGAAAATAGAATACTTTATTTAAGTAAAATTAGTTCGAAAGAAATATAACTTGTTAGATAGAGTTCCTTATAGCAAAGGATCATCTGTAAGAGAAGGGCAACAGAAAAGTTCCGATCTTTATTTGCAGCCACTATTATATAGTGAATTCACGAAGAAAAAAAGATATTATGGTAGCGAAAGAAAAGTAACATCAATTGTCTTTTAATCACAGTGACTACTCGATTCAATAGTCTCCAGTGAAAATAATATACTCAATGGCTTGATAAGGTGGAATCAGGCTGAACGGTTGTCCCCTTCCGATCGATTCTGTCGAGCCGTCAATTGAATGTGAATGGGTACCATCAGCTGAAAGCCATATTCCAGTTTGCCCAGTCGGAATAGTATGTGCATGTGTTGCCCAGTCATCAAAGGGGCCTTGGCCGTTGCCTTTCAGATTCCATCCACCAGCACCACCCTGCCTTACATCCGTTTGGCCTCCATGATTATGCCCCGGATCGTTGACAGCATGAGTATGGCTACCTGCGATCACGGTGGTTAATGTACCTTTACCGTGCTCATGAGCAGGCATTTGATCGATTGTTAATGTTTGTGTTGCACTACCACCTTTATCCATAGTGGCTTTCTGGTTTCGTGTCAAATCGAGACCTAGCGGAAAGCGGCCACGAAAATCTGGCACATTAAAAGTAGTTATTCCATCTCCAGCCCCAAATGTTTCCCCGATGACAAAAAATAAACGCTGATATTCGACACGAGAGAGAACTTGTCCATGACAGAATACCCAATGACGTGGTAGAGACGATTCATTGCTTGAGTAAAGTTTAATCTCACCTATAAGCGGCCACGAGTATCGATCAAACGTGGATGATGCTGTACTTCTGGTATTGACTGTACGAACAATAGCACCATTCCCTTTGTCGGCAATGAGCTGTTTTGCAATGATTGCAACTTGAAGTCGATCGGTGATATCAGTTAGTCTGTAAACAGCGAATGATTTGGGTATGAATTTTTCACCCGTCCATGCAGTTTCAATGGATTCTTGAGTGAGGAATTTTTGGATTTCTGTTTGTGAAAATACTAACTGTGTCGTCGTTAACAGATGATTTGCTGATGAACTTGACGATGCACCATTACCGCCAACAGAACCGATGCCAAAAATACTTAAGCCGCCTCCTCCTGAGCTTGATGATGATTGCGCATACGATTGATTAAAATCAAAATAGCTATCGGAAAAGTTGTGAAGCTCTGTTTCAGTTTGATTGTAAGTGAACAATTTCTTCAGTTCACTTGTGATTCTATCAGGATTCAAATCCGAGGCTGACCAAACTTGGTCGTAAAATTTGGCATCGAGTTTTGTTTCTTCCGAAAAAGCCATTCCTATAGTAAAAAGAGATATCAGAAACACATTCAATTGCGCAGATATTGTAGAAATGTGTGACCTTGTTGTAACAATGAAATAAATTGATCTTCTAGACCAGCTGATAATGATGATACATTTGTGTTTAAATTTTCCATGTAAATCATTTTCTTCACATTTGTCACATATTTACTAACAAATGTTGATCCTTGATTTCGATGAATGTACTGAGGATTTGTGTTTCCGCCGTCGGCCATAGTTTTGCTGATCACACTTTTCAGTTGATCACTGGTAATTGAAATTAGGTTTGTCGTAACTTGTTTGAAACCGGCAAAGTAAAAAGCCACTTCGATTTCATAAGCATCATCGATGATATTTTTTACAATTTCTTTTGCATGCTCTTCCGAAGAACAATAGAAACGAAACTGCATCGTCAACTGATTTGGATGTACAGCTTTGTAAGGATGTACACCTTCAACAGGTATGTTTGTTCCTCGAACAATATATGCCATCAATGAGTCAATCATCAATGGAGCAACATCCCAGAATTTTGAATACTGAGAAATGGTCAAATCGTATTTCTTAATGATTGCTCTTCTTGCCAATTCTTCAACATCATCATTGCTCAACATTAAATTGATTCGTACTTCATTCTTGACTGTGAAAGCCCATGAAGTAATTGTGTCATTTGTTATGTCTGGTAACATAATTGGTACGAAGTAGAAGACCCATCTCTGAGGTGTGAGAAGGTTTTCCTTTTCATTTGACAGGGCACTGTAAACGTATATTTGACTGCCTTGATAATTGAATATTGTCAGGACTTGAGTATTCACGACAGCCGTGCCTAAACTCGGCTCATTTTTCAATTTTGAGTTGGATCCTTTACTATTGATCCATTCGTTGTCCTGCGTCGTGCTTTCTGGGTTTATTTCGAGAGCAAAAGCATTTGTATGGCAGACCAAGAGAAGAATGTAGATGAACTGGAGTGCTAGCATTGTCTTTTTCATAGTAATGCAAATGATTGAGAGTTATACTTAACAAATGTCGACTATCTGCACCATATATATATATCAAAAAGAGTCAAGTCAACAGTTATCAATAATATAGAGAACAGTGCTTATTGCGCATTTCCACAATTGACTACTTCTCATACTTCTGCGCATCAACCCCTACCTCTCTTGTCGGCGATATTAAGAATATTTGTTTGGTAACGAAGATAATACCTGTTTTACTATTAATAGAAGAACGATTTGTAGGAAATACAGTAGGGGTGTTGCGTTAGCATTAGTATTGACATGATGCTAATGCGTGTGCATTAGTATTAACTATTAAGCCTAATGCTTATGCATTATTGACGTCAGGACTAATTAATCCTTAGGTATTAGCATTAATTTAGCATTAATTGTAATTCTAAAACATATATTTCTTGTAAGCTCTGGGATATTCCTTTTATTTTTTCAAGGGCTATCATAGGGTACTCATTACGACTCATCAGGAGCTACCTGGAGGTATACTTCGAAATTTTTTTGAGCGCGGTTGTGGGTGCGTGAGGCTTTGTATATCAGTGAATGAGTGCTCGAATGTGCGTAGCGTGAGAATGTTTGCGTGTGGGTGAGTTGTAGGAGTGTCACACTTACCACTTACTACCACTTTCACTTACCAGGTGAGTGGTAAGTGTTGCAATCATCGAATAATTATCGATCCAACATTAATAAATGATCATATTAACTATTGGCTATTTATTCTTGCATGGTAATCTTCATCACGCACCACTTACTAATTAGTAACAGTAAGTGGAATATGATACCCTTAGTGGATGGCTATGGTTGTAAGTGTCGCTATGATGTGAGTGTCTGGATCTGTGTGCGAGTCTGACTCTTCGGTGTGGGTGTGGGTGTGGGTGGATGTGAGGTGGGTGTGGGTGTGGGTGGATGTGGGGTGGGTGTGGGTGTGGGTGGATGTGGGGTGGG